CAAGTTTCAGTTTTTTTTCTACATAAAGCAAGTTTGTATTTTTTTTTACAAGATAAAATTGTTAACAGATAAAATTGAATGTATTGTCAAAAATATATACACATTATGTAAAAATTCAAAAGCAAATTTGTTGAATAATTTTATATATGTAAACTGAAAAAATTTCAACTTGAAAGGTCAAAAGTCGAAGAAACCATCACATTACATTGTTCTGTTATACTAAGCAATAATGGAAAGAAGTATATAATTGATCTAACGAATTAAGTATTTAGTATTAGAAATGAAATTTTAATTAAAAAAAAATAATAAAGACGATCATCAAGATCATCAAGTAAAGCAATTAATAAAGTTGTGTCACAAGCGTCAAGTATAAATGATATGTAAACCAATTGGGACGGTCGATGATGAAAAAATTTATTCTCTCTTTCTATTTATTTCTTTTATAACAAAAAAATTCTTTTTTTATAAAAGTTTCATAATGATGTTTAAACTTCGATTACATATTTCAATAATAATAATAATATTATTATTAGGTATCTTTTTATTATATAATTTTCAGTTCAACAGCACGACTCGAGATGAATTTTTCAGACAAAAATATAAAGACCCTTATAAAGAATTAATCGATCCTCCTGTAATAAAAAATTATAGTAGAGTAAATGCGTGTATAGTCGTATTAGCGAGGAATCAGGAATTACATCAATTAAGATCATCGATGAGACAATTTGAAGATAGGTGGAATAAAAAGTATAATTATCCATATGTATTTTTAAATGATGTAGAATTTTCCGAAGAATTTAAAAAGTATACAAGTGCGATAACACAATCTAAAACAAAATATGGTAAGTTTAATGAGAGAAGCGAAAGATTTTTTTTTCTCAATATTTTTTTTTCACAATTTGTTTTTAGCATTGATACCAAAAGAGATGTGGAGCTATCCAAGTTGGATAGATCAAAACTTAGCGGCCGAAAGAAGAAAAAAAGCGGTAGAAGATAAAATGATCTATGGTGGTTCGGAATCATATAGGCATATGTGTAGATTTAATTCGGGATTTTTTTTCAGACATCCAGCGCTACTTGAATATGATTATTATTGGAGATTAGAACCTTCCGTAGAATATATGTGTGATATTGATTATGATCCTTTTTCATTTATGAAACGAAATGATTTATATTATGGATTCACAATAAGTCTATATGAATTTGAAAATACCATACCAACACTTTGGAATACCACCAAAAATTTCATGAAAGAATATCCTAAATATGTAAAAGAAAATAATGCATTGGAATGGATATTAAAAGATGATGGAGAAAATTATAATTTATGTCACTTTTGGAGTAACTTTGAAATTGGAAATTTAAATTTTTGGAGAAGTGAAGCATATATCAAGTACTTTGAATATTTAGATAAAGAAGGGGGATTTTTTTACGAGAGATGGGGAGACGCACCAGTCCATTCATTAGGATTATCATTATTCACGGATAAATCAAAAATACATTTTTTTAATGATATATCATATTTACATCCACCTTATCAACATTGTCCAATTAATAAAGAATTTCATGAAAGTGGGAGGTGTCATTGTAATCCCGATAAAAATTTTGGTAAGAAAAAATCAATCAAATCAATCAATTTATGAAGAATGGGAGAGAGATTTACTAACATCCATTTCTTATTTAATAGATACGGATTGGTATTCTTGCACCGAAAAATGGTGGACACTTTAAACGATTATAACCAGTCAGGCTTATGTCTTGGATCATAAGGTACATGCTCGGAAAATATCTCAATAAACTGCAATTTCGTTTAAAATCATTTCTTAATATCTTTTCATTAAATCATTTCCAATATAATACTTTAACTAGTAAAACTGATTCATACCTCTTGGTCTGCTAATACCTTTGAACCAGCGAATCTACGATATTCATCAAATATCGAAGTCATTGACCATTTTTGTAATTTACGAAGACACCCTACTAAACACCCTATTCGATGCTTTCCTTTATTACAATGAATCAACACTAAACGAAAAATAAATATATTTATAACAATAGAGATTAAAATATAGATATTTGTTCAAACTTGTAGATATACAACATTACCTGGATGATTTCGAACATCCAAAACTTTAACTAATGCGCTACTTATTTCTTTTTGTTCAATCTCGACAAAAGGTTCCTACATTAACATTTAAATTTTTTTTCTTTTTTTTTTTTAAAATAAAAAATAATTTATAGTAAAAAAAAGAAAATTAGATATATACTTTATTGCCATCAATTCTATAATGAAAAACTTGAATGAATTGTTCATTGACAAATTGCTCTAATTCTTTATTAAAATCATCGGACGACAAATAACTAAATAGGAATATAGAGAATAGTTATACATAAAAATTGATGTTTAATCAACAAGAGTTATTGAACTTGTTAAATAATACATTATGCTCTTAAGTCCTAATTTAATTAAAAAAGGATAATTTTTTCTGTTAGGATGTCCGGATCTATACACTCCTGGTGCTACCATTGCAAAATTTAATGGTGGAACCATAACTTTTGTTTCATTCGGATAATCTGATGTCGCCATGTCTACGATTGAGACAAAAAAAAAAAAACTATATAAAGAAAAATGTTGATTTTATATCAGTTCTATGTTACACGAGCAACTAAGATTTTGTGTATCATCGTATGATTTCCAAAATAGCTTATTAATGTTAAAAAATAAAAAAATTTTTTTTTCTATTTCCCTCTGAACCTCATTAATTATGACAGAATTACTTCCTTTACAAGACGAATATATCACACAGTTAAAATTAAATGGTAACCGATCTACAAAGATAATGGCATCATCTGTTAACGAATCATCCAAAAAGAATCCAGAAGCGACAACTTCAGGTGGTGGAAAACCCAATGGAGTTTTCCTTGATAAAGATGGAAAACCGTGTAGAGCCTGTACCGCATTCAGAGATTGGACAAAACGAGGGAAAAAGAAAGAATCATCACAACATAAAGTTGAAATGACAACAAAGGAAGGTAATGCAACTGGTGGTGATATAGCAAACAATAATTCTTCACAAGGATTACCTCAAGATTGTCCACCAGATTCAGAACAATTAGGCAGAGCTACATGGACTTTCTTACATACGATGGCCGCTTATTATCCCGAAAAACCTTCTTCTGAACAACAAATAAGTATGCGTAATTTATTATCTGGCTTTTCTCAATTTTATCCTTGTTGGTATTGTGCCGAACATTTACGTGAAGAAATGAATAAAATTCCACCCAAGGTTGAAAGTAGAAGGGCATTGGGAAAATGGTTATGTGATATGCATAATATTGTTAATGAACGTTTGGATAAACCAATTTTTGATTGTAATAAAATTAATGAGAGATGGAAGGATGGTCCTAAAGATGGTCGATGTGATTAATGAGACATGAAGCGATAAGCTATTATTAATAGCTTTATTTAGCATTTCTTTTCTTATTCTAATTATTGGTAAATAACCTGAGTTTATCAAATACGCATAGAATCGATGCAATTAACAATACGAAAATTTGGGAGTTATTAAAAAAAAGAAAGGAGATATTTCGGCACCGTTTTGTTTTAATTTAAATAATAAACATTTGATTACAAAGGTTTATGGTAATATTTAAACAAATTTTTCTTTCACTATTATCCATTTAATTTTTTTTTGCTTTTCCTAACATGAGATTAGAGGTCACATGTTAATTCCGATCGGAGACAAAAATGGGGGATCACTAATTTACCCCCGCTGGTTAATTGAGGGTGTTAGGTGGTTTGTCAGGTGATGTTAAATATTTAGAATTTTTTTCGGTGGGTTAGTTTATTCGTCACGCCTGTATGCTTAATCAATTATACCGGGGTTTGGCATTTGCTGCGGCCAAAAGAATTTTTGGTCCAAACTTTTCTATCTCAAAAGTATATGATAATCTAAAGCTTTAAATTTTGAATGATATAATAAAAAAAAAAAATTTATTGAGTTATATTCATTCATATCTCATCTTTCTCTTCATATTAATGTTCACCGAATAATAACAAAAATTTTAAATTTTCAGTTAGATCAATTATATACCTATTTATAAAATGTTTTTGCCAAATCAAAATTTTCTCAAACACCCATCCCTCCCAGCTGCATATATAAATCTTCCATTATTTATCACCCGAATAGAATATATCGGGTCCATATCGAAACCAATAAATTCTTGTGACGCTTGAGAAATATTGCTTGCAACAACAGTTTGAATTTGGAATGCAGAACCATCACCTACAAAGTTCAAGAAAATACTGTCTGTCAGTTTACGTATCATTTAATAGAAAATATTTATTTATTTATTTATATAATACCTTGGCCAACTAAAAGATCACCCGTCTCTTCAATGGAAACCAAATCAAGGATTGCTGAATCGTTTCTTTGAATGGAGAACAGATTGTTGCTAACAATTGAACTTTCATAAGTAACATTATAAATAGTTAAATGTGACATTGTTGCTGTTAAAATAAATAAATACTTTATATTCCGAATATCAAATACTTCAATAACTCCTTCAGCTGATCCGACCGCGAAGAAGTTATGTTTAGAAGAATAAGTACAAGAATACAAAGGTATACTTCGGTATGACTTTTCGGTGAAGGCCTAATTATTTTTGAAATAAAAGTTTTCATTATTTATATAGCACATATAGGAATGATTAAAATAATAATACACACTTCTTCCTTGCTCCTTAAATCGATTCCACTAATGCTACCATCTTCTAGCGCGCATATTACAAGTTTATCATTTGTTGCAACTTCGCGCGAATCTAAGAATAAAAAATAATTATATATATATACAAAATCGGCTATTCATAACATTGCAACCTTTGAATTATTATTATATTACCCAATTCAATATCGGACCTTCTTTCAATAATAGATTCGGCTGGAAACGATCCTAGAGTGATCTTATTGACAGCACAAGTATGATTCCCCATAGTACGTATGATACTAGCGGAACCTCAAATATTTATAAAGTATTAAATGTGAAAAACAAACCGAAAATCGAGAAGAGGAGTTGCATCAAATAAATACCACATTCCCATAATCGAATAGTGCCATCTCGTGCTGAAGCTATTTAATTGCGTTAAAACAACATTAAGAATTATTCGGTTCTAAAATACGCGACGCATTATAACGAAAAAAAAAAAAGCTTACACAGAACATTTTTGCCTCTTTCTATGATTGCTGAATCAGTAACTCCCTTAGTATGTCCTTTCAAAGTAACCGGATTACTTCCATCCAACGCTGACCAAATGCGCAATTGGAAATCTGATGCACCACTTAATATCACTATAAAATTAACGATGATGAGATCAGTGGATTCAATCACATAAATTAATATTGTTTCCTTAAACTACCTTGACCAGATGGAAAGAAACGACAGGTAGTAATATCAACAAAGTGTCCTCTTAATTCTCTCTATATAGGAAGATGCTAAAAAGTTTAAATATTGTACAAATGTATGAAGAAAAAGAATTAGAATAAAAAGTTACATACCCTGACACTTCCATCTTTCGTATCACCCACTTTCAGTATTCCATCATTATCACCAGTAACGTATAATTCCCCACCAGGCGAAATATCCATAGACTTAATCTATTGAAACTCAAAATTAATAAAACATAAATAATTGATATAAACTAAAATTATACTTACAGCAGATGTATGTAATTTTTTAAAGGTAGCCTTTGATCCCTTAATAATTGCTTTTGTAATTCCGAGTTCCTCACAGGAAGCATAGAAGGAATACTAAATGAATTATGGTTTCAGCTAATGAAGTTACTCAACAAAGTACGAAAGTCGTGAAAAAAACTATGTAAAACTAGAAAAGCACATTGGTTATTTTTTCAACTATGACACCATCGTGTCCAGTGAGTTCCACTGAACGAGAGCCTGCAGAGTTTCTTTTGACTTGAACGGAACCATGAATAGATGTAGAACCTAGAGAACACCTTGTTGTAAGTAAATAAAAGCGTAAACCTTTTATACTAAAGCATCATACCTTTTCGATAGCAAGACACCCAAAAAGATTCAGAAGCAACTATCCCACGAAGAACATCTGAAACCACTTCTATCCAATCTGACTGAACGGTTACTTGAGGTATATGAATTAGGTTATTGATTTCATTTGGCATTTTGTCAAAAATTTTTTAAAATTTTCGGAAAATCATTTCATTGATGAATAATCTTATCATCAATCACGATATTATACGAGTGTTTTTAGAATTAGAATTCTCATGTATTTAAAACAACAAAAAGATTTATATTTGCAAAAACATATTCATCTAAAATTTTATCTTTATAGTGTTCTTTTTTTCAAAGTTGGTTCTTAAAATGATACCTCAACCATCTCTATTATTGAAAAAAAATTTTTTATATGCATTGTTATAAATAAAATAATAATACTTAATACAATACAATACTTGATATAATACAGTAAAATTTATGATAATTAATAGTCAATTATTTACTGAAAAACTAGTAATGTTTGTTTGTATTGAATTTTGAATACTATATGATTTTATTGTTTTTTTTCAATGATTTTAAAGCTTTTAACTCATTATAATCTACTTGTATATTATTTGTTCACATTTTTTAGAAGAAGAAGATAGTTGTTGAGAGATTTTAATTTCGTAGAATTTAGAGATTTGTTAATTTAAAGAAATCAAAGAAAAATGTTGATTATGTAGAATTATTAGAAGATATTTATTTATTATCAATTTAGAAATATGTAAAATTTGATTAATATTATTATTTAGTGATGTGTGATTAATTATTCGTGTAAAATCATGAAAATTTTGATTAATATTATTATTTAGTAATGTGTGTTTAATTATTTGTGTAAAATCATTATTTAGAAATTTTGAATCTTAACATAGTAATGTGTTTTTTTTTATAAATAACGCGACTTAAATATAAAATCCGTTGAAACAAGGATCCCTTGAAATGTAGATCCTTTTTTTCTCAAAACATAGTTTTACGCGTTTCTCCCATTTTATTTATCAAGGAAAAATGTCTGCCATTGACATAGGTAAGTTTTGGCATCATGCTTGTGAATTATCAGAAACAGCTTGTCTTGACACAATGAACTTGTTATAATAGCAATAGAATCATACTTGAAGATACATTATGAAAGATGTTCCCTCAATGATTTCTTACAAAAGAACGCATCACTAGTGAATGAAGAATTTGATGATAGAACTTGGTACAATAAGTTTTCCATCTGGAAGAATAGATTTTTTACAAAAGCGAAACAAATGATTTCTGATGAAGGATTGATTAAAAAGGTGATTTGTGAAAAAAATACATGAACACGTATTATACTAAATATAATCCTAAAGACATATGAGCACTCCAGCTGGTGTCGTCCCTAAACTGGAGAATGGAGTGTCGTCCTCTAGCTCAATGTCTTGCACTTATGCAGGTGTCGTCCCTGTGAAGTGTAGGAATGTTAAAGACACTCCAGCTGGTGTCATCCCTAAACTGGAGAATGGAGTGTCGTCCTCCGTCTTATAACATCCCGACCCATTATATTTTTCCTAATTTTCTAATTTCGGTCTTTTATTGCAGTTGCAAAATGAAGAGCCACGAATATGTTTCTGGAAGGAAGTTGAGCATGTTCAATCAGTCAAATCAAAACAGGTGGGTGAATTATTTGAATATGTTTCAATATAGATATTTGCCTAATCATCTTTATTGGTGCTGTACAGCTTAAACTGAAACGAAAGGTTGATATTACTTCAGTTGACATTTTTGATAAATCAACATCTCAACAAGGGAATGAGATTCTTAATCTTTATAATGATATGTCTTGTGAAATGATTAAGAAGCATTCAAATGAAATGAATTCAAGCAGCTCTAAAGAGGTTAGTATGAAAAGTAATACAATGTATTATGGTCAATCTGTGAGTAGAATTGACAAGATTTTCCATATTATATTTATTAAGATATAATGTTTATATGTATTATTATATTTCTTTGGAAGAATTCAAATCTAAAACGTTCATTAGATAGAATTACAAAAGATGATTTTAAGAATGTTGAAAATCAAATAAATTACAAAAAGAAAAAGGAAAATGAGAATATGGTAAGTATATATGATCATTCCACAGTATTAAATCAAAAATGAAAAAATTGTTAGAACTTATTATTATAATCTAAAATAATTTTGTAGGATAATTGTGTGAAGAATCTTCTTAATGAAAAGCAAAAATGTTCGAAGAGCATGAGTAATTTAATTGATAATTTCCAAAAATATTGTGCTGATACCAAAAATGAAATGACATCAAATGAAATCATGGACCTAAAACCAACATCAGAGTTTGTTATGAGGTACACAAAAGAGGTTGACCATATTCAAGTTTTGAAGGAAGTTTTTGAACCTGTTGACAAGTTATTTCCAGACAAAGGCTTCTATTTTCTTTCTGAGTTTTTTTCAGAGGTATTGTTGTTTATTATCTTGTGGTAAATTAAAATTTTTTTGTTAACTATTCATATGGATTCTTGTTTTTGTTTTTTAACAGGGATGTAATTATCAAAAATGGCAGGATAAGTTAGAAACTTTATTATTGCCAGAAGAAGATCCTTTCTTAAGGAAATTGAAAAGATTTATGTTTGAAATACTACCAATATTGTAAGTATATTTAAATAGAATCCCACTTTCATTAAGCTTTACTAACATTAATAGTTTACCTTTAGTTTTGATGTATTTGATCAGTTGCATGATAATCCTCTTAAGGATCATGAAATGTTAGAAGATGAGTTTATGAATACATACATACACCCAGTTTTAAAAAGGCACTTGCTCACTTTCAGGAATTCGCTATGTTTCGTAGGGACTGTTTCATTCTTGTCATTCCATGTTAATGTAATAATTTATGTAACTATTCTTATGTTCTTATTTTTAGGGGGAATAAGGCCATTGATGCTTCATACTACAGAAAATTAATAATGAATCAAAAAGGGAATGCAGACCGTTCAGATGGAATAGCATATACAACAAATGAAAAGCATTATGAATTCTGTGTGACAGAAGGAAGCAAGCCTTACAATGTTGATTTTGACAAAGAAATTGCAGATTATATTCAAAATGCACGTGCAGGAAAGGATATGTTAAATTTTGTTGTTATATCAGAAGTAAAATCAAAGAGAGTATTGCCAGAAAATTTTCGAGTATACATGGTTCAGAGTTATGGCTTGAATCTTAGCTTTTATTTTATGGATTTCTTAGGTATATCTAAACATTCAGTTAACCAAGGTGATGATATATCTCATTTGGGTATCTAGTATTGAACATCAGTTATATTTTTCTTTTAGGTACTTACCGACTTTTTGAAGTTGAATCATGTGAATTACCAACAGATTTTATAGGGGTCAATTTGTTTCCTTTTTTCTTTCGTGCTATTATCACTTGGGTGGTAAGTATTAGGAATATAAGTTGCATATTACTATTTTTGTAATCTGATCTCATTTTTTCTATGCATCATAGTTAATGATTGGTGAAACTGACAGTGAATTTCAACGGACTAGAAACAAAAGAAATTCACGTTATAGCAATGCACATAATCTATGGGCCCTTTCTGAAATACATCACAACCAACCCAGAAAAGATGGTACTAAAAAATCTTTGAAGATGAACAAAATCATTTGACATTTGATTGGGCTTGCAACCCACTACATATTGTTTTTATAATAGAAGTTTCCATTTTTTTTTCCTATTTGCATGCACATTTTTAAAACAAAAAACAATATTATGAACAGAGAATTACCACCAAAAATAACAATCCTGATTGCAAAGAATAAAGGAGGATGTTTGCAAAAAAAATTGCTTTAAACTATATTCAAGATGTTTTGAATAAGTCTATTTTCGCTTGTTTTGTATCAAAGAACCAAATTTGATATCAATTCATTGTTTGTTATCCAATTATTATTCATTTTCATTGAAAAAAATCGGGCTACAAATATTTTTTTGTTCAATGAGCGAAAATATCTGTTAAATATTAGAAATCCATAAAAAACTTGATTGATAAAAGTTTGAGCTGGTTTTTAATTCTCTTCCTCTTCTGCAGCCAAAAAATAAATATAGAAATTCATAGTTTTATAAAAGATCCACCTTTAAATTTAATAGATCGCCCATAGATAGATAAATAATTATTATATAATATTGCAAAGTTTGGTCCTGTTAATAATAATAAATGATTGATAATTACATTGGTATCATCATCTTTCGAGTTTATCCGGTTTTGGTTTTTTTGGTAATGAATGAACTTTCTACTTGGATACACATGAATCTCGGTTTAGCGGACCTTGATTTAGCGGATTTAAGGGTATCTCGATTTAACGGATTTAACGGATATTTATATATATTTGATTTAACGGATATTTTTTAAAAAAATTCACATATCTCATAATAAATATCTCTTGATACAACGTAATAATTATTTTAATAGAAATAAAATTTAAAATTTAAGACTAAAGAGTGAGATTTCTTACAGAAATTCTCAAGTGTACAAAAAAGTATTGAAGATTATATTAATATGATAGAATAAAACATGTTATTTTATTTTATTTATTACATTATTGTATTATTATTTTTTAAAACGATTTTTTAACGTGTATCACGTGATTTGGTTATTTATTATTATGAACTCTTGGTTTTACGGATTTCTTGATTTAACGGATAAATTTTTTGGGATAAACTTGTCCGTTAAACCGAGAGCGGCGTGTATTGGAGGATAGAAAAATAGACATACATATAAAAGTTATACAGAGAAATTCCAAATATTTGTAAATTCCGTTAATTTTTTTTCTTTAACTTGTCAAAATAGTTAGTTAGTAGTAACTATTTTGGTTATTGAGAGAGGTATTTCATTTATATTGAGATTGATTTTTCTAATATTTTTACAATGCATCATATTTATTCGTAAATGAAAAAATAAAATAAAATAGTCAAAGTTGGCAATTAATTTTATTACCATATTTGGTAATCTAGAAAATTTATTTCTCAATTTACTATTATTGATTTGTGTTTTCTTCGAAGAATTATAATTATCCGGTATCCCGTGATTTTTTATAATTAATGATGACTATAATAAATCGTTTATCAGGCAAAAAAATCATTATCAGGCATTAATAATTTTTATTAAGCATTATTTGTATTAATAAAATTACATTTAAAACTAATTAA